AAAATCAAGTTGAGGAAATTCCTCTTTATTCCTAGTTTACTGAGAGCTTTTTAACATGAATGGGTGTTAGATTTTGTCAAATGCTTTTTTTTTTTTTTTGCATCTATTGATATGATCATATGATTTTTCCTCTTTAGATGATGGATTACATTAATTGACTTTCAAATGGTGGACCAGCCTTACATACCTGGGATATATTCCAGTTGGTACTGGTGTGAAATTCTTTCTTAAAGACAGTCTTGCCCAGGCTGCAGTGCAGAAGTGTGATTACGGTTTACTGCAGCCTCAACCTTCAGGGATCAAGCGATCCTCCCACCTCAGTTTCTCAAGTAGCTAGGACTACAGGTGTGCACACCAGGCTGATTTAAAATTTTTTTTTGAGAGACAGGGCCTTGCTGTGTTGCACAGGCTGGTCTCAAACTCCTAACCTCAAGTGATCCTCCCACTTTAGCCTCCCAAAGTGCAGATTACAGGCATATGCCCAGCTATAAAATTCTTTACATTATTGAATTTGATTTGCTGATACTTGGCTGAAAAATTCTGCATCTATCTCCATGAGTGATATTTGTCTGTGGTTTTTATTTTTTTTCCAGACAGGGTCTCACTCTGTTGCCCACGTTGGAGTGCAGTGGCACAGTGGCACAATTATGGCTCACTGCAGACTTGACCTCCCAGGCTCAAGTGATCTTCCCACCTCAGCCTCCTGAGTAGCTGGCACCACAGGCACATGTCACCATGCCTGGATAATTCTTGTATTTTTTGTAGAGATGGGATTTTTCCATGTTGCCAAGCTGATGTCAAACTCCTGGGCTCAAACAATTCTCCCACCTTGGCCTTCGAAAGTGCTGGGATTACAGGTATGAGCCACCATGACTGGCAGTGTAGTTTTTTTTTTTTTTTTAATGTCAATTTTATTATTATTTTTTTAATGTCAATTTTATTTCTCTCTTTTTTTTTTTTTTTTTTTAAAGAGATAGGGTCTCACTCTGTCATCCAGAGTGGAGTACAGTGCTGTGATCATAGCTCACTGCAGCCTTGAACTCCTGGGCTTAAGCCATCCTCCTGCTTCAGCTTCCTAAATAATGCTGAACTTAGATGGTAAGTGTAGGCAGCTCTTTAAATTTAACCAACTCTCACCCTATGGATTCAGAGACCATAGCTGAATATCCAGGAGGTAACAATTCCTGGCTATTCCTTCTCAGTATTTTCTTTATTAAAAAATGTTTTATTTTACTTTAAGTTCTGGGATATACGTGCAGAATATGCAGGTTTGTTACATAGATATATGTGTGCCATGGTGGTTTGCTGCACCTATTGACCTCTGTCATCTAGGTTTCCTCCCCTTGACTCCCACCCGCCAACAGATCCCGGTGTGTGTTATTTCCCTCCCTGTGTCCATGTGTTCTCATTGTTCAACGTCCACGTATGAGTGAGAACATGTGGTGTTTGGTTTTCTGTTCCTGTACTTGCAGAGGATGATGGCTTCCAGCTTCACCCATGTCTCTGCAAAGGACATGATCTCATTCCTTTTTATGGCCGCACAGTATTCCATGATGTACATATACCACATTTTCTTTATCCAGTCTATATCACTGATGAGCATTTGGGTTGGTTCCATGTCTCTGTTTCTGAAAATACTGCTGCAATAAACATATGTGTGCATGTGTCTTTACAGTAGAATGATTCAGGCTTTGGGTATATACCCAGTAATGGGATTGCTGGGTCAAATGGTATTTCTGGTACTAGATTCTTGAGGAATTGCCACACTGTCTTCCACAATGGTTGAACTAATTTACATTTACATTTCTGCTTGATTCTTGGGATCAAGCGTTCCTCCCACCTCAGCTTCCCAAGTAGCTAGGACTACAGGCATGCACCACACAGGGTGATTTTTATTTTTATTTTTCTAGAGGCAGGGCCTTGCTATGTTGCACAGGCTAGTCTCAAACTCCTAGCCTCAGGGCATGAGCCACAGTGCCCAACGGTGTAAAAACATTCCTATTTATACACAGCCTCACCAGCACCTATCATTTCTTGACTTTTCAATAACTTCCATTCTGACTGGCATGAGATGGTATCTCATTGTGGTTTTGATTTGCATTTTCTAATGATCAATGATGTTGAGCTTTTCTTGGCTCTGTAGTTTTCTTCTAAGTTCTTTATCTTGTTTTGGTATTAAAATAATGCTCCTCTAAAAGCATGAGTCAGAAAGTATTCCTTCTACTTGTATCTTCTGAAAGAGATTGTAGAGAATTGGTATAACTTCTTCCTTAAATATCTAGTAGCACTCACCAGTGAACCTATCTGGTCCTAGTGTTGTTTTGGAAGGTTATTAGTTATTGATTCAATTTGTTTAATACATAGATTTAGGCCTATTCAGATCATATATTTCTTCTTGTGTAACTTTTTGCAGATACTGTCTTTCAAGGAATTGGTACATTTCATCTAGGTTACCAAATTTATGGGCCTAGAATTGTTCATAGTATCCCTTACCCTTTTAATGTCCATAGGATCTGTAGTGATGTTTTGATTTCTGATATCAGTAATTTGTGCCCCTTTTTTTCTTAGTTATCCTGGCTAGAGGCTTATCAACTTTACTGATCTTTTCAAAGATACAGATTTTCATTTTGTTGATTTTTTTCTATTAATTTCCTGTTTTTAATTTCATTCATTTCTGCTCTAATTTTTATTATTTCTTTTCTTCTGCTTATTTTGGATTTAATTTGTCCTCTTTTTTCTAGTTTCCTAAGGTGTAAACTTAAATTACTGATTTTAGATATTTCTTGTTTTCTAATATATGCATTCAATGCTATAAATTTCTTCCTAAGTACTGCTTTTGCTTCATCCTACAAATTTTGTTTTCCTTTTCATTTAGTTCAAAGTATTTTAACATTTCTCTTGAGATTTTTCCTTTGATGCATTTATTATTTAGAAGTGTGCTGTTTAATCTCAAAGAATTTGGGTATTTTCCAGCTATCTTTGGGTTATTTATATCTAGTGCCCCCTACTTGATCATCTTAATTCCACTGTGGTCTGATATGGTTTGGCTCTGTGTCCCCAATCAAATCTCATCTTGTAGCTCCCATAATTCCCATGTGTTGTGGGAGGGATCCAGTGGGAGACAACTGGATTATGGGGGCAGGTCTTTCCTGTGCTATTCTCGTGATAGTGAACTGGTCTCATGAGATCTAATGGTTTTAAAAACAGGAGTTTCCCTGCACAAGCTCTCTCTTTGCCTGCTGCCATTCATGTAAGATGTGACTTGCTTCTCCTTGTCTTCTGCCATGATTATGAGGCTTCCCCAGCCATGTGGAACTATAAGTCCATTATAAACCTCTTTCTTTTGTAAATTGCCCAGTCGCTAGTATATCTTTATCAGTAGTGTGAAAATGGATTAATACATGGTCTGAGAGGTGACTATGATTTCTACTATTTCAAATCTCTTAACATGTGTATTATGGCCAAGGTACAGTCTATCTTGGTGAGTCTTGGGTGTGCTTGAGAAGAATGTCTAACATACTACTGTTGAATGGAATAGTCTACAGATGTCTATTGTATCAAGTTGATTGATGGTGTTGCTGAGCTATGTCCTTAGTGATTTTCTGTCTGTTGGCAATATGCCCATTTCTGACAATGGGGTATTTCCAACTATAATAGTAGATTTCTCTGTTTCTCCTTGTAGTTCTATTAGTTTTTGCCTGAGTTTTTATTTTAATTAAATTATCAGTTCCAAGTCTTCTATTCGATTATTACATATTTCATTTATTTGATGAGATTTTCTAGCTGTTCGTTTGTTTCAAAAGTGTCTGTAACTGCTTGTCCAAATATCTTTATGGTAGCTGCTTTAAAAGTCTCTCAGTTAATTATAGTTCCAACACCTGTGTCAATCTTGATGTTGGCATTTGTTATCTTTTCTCATTCAAGTTGAGATTTTCTTGGTGTGTGTTAAGATGAGCGATTTTTATTATATCCTGGTCAACTGGGGCATTTTTATGAGACTCTGGATTATATATAATCTTGCACTTCAGCAAGACTTTACTAAAACTATGCTGGCAGGAACAATGGCTGGCAGGGAAAGGGGAGCACTGACTCTACTACTATGCAGAGGTGAAGTTCTGGCTTTCCACAGGGCTTCCATTTACACGCTGGGGAGTATCCTGTTACCACTGGAAAGGGCTGGAAGTCCATGGTCCCCACTTATCCTCCACCAACACTGTGGAAGGAGGCCTTGTTACTGCTGGATGTGGTGGAGGTCTAGGCTCTCCACTTTGTTCACTGACTCTAACCCTTGTGGAAAGGGCAACTCATCACCACAAAGCAGGGGTAGATATCAACTGACATTGCAGGAGCAGGATGATGGCAGGGAAGAGAATGCGTTATGGCTGTGTGATCCTACTTGGATCACCACTGGCATCATAGGGAAGGAAAGGGGTACCTTGTTCCTGCTGGGTAGGGGGTCAGAGTCCAGGATCCCCACTCAACTTCCTTTGACATCACCCCAGTGGGAAACGGGAGGGGTATATTTAATGTCAAACAGGTTTCCAACTTTCTAGGCTGCCCCTTTATTAGTCCACTGGCAAGAAAGAAGAGGTTTTACTTGGGACTTCTGGGGGAGGTCTGCACCAGGCGGCATTTCTCTTGTTGGGGGCATCCAGTCTGAGATATGGAGGAAACAAAAAGAAAATCCAGGGAACTTACTGCTATGTCATTCCCTGAGTTCCAGATTCTCTAGTTGGTGTGTGTTCTCCAGTTTTGAAAGTCTTCTCATATTTGTTTTATAAAAATGTCCAGGGATTTTAGGTGTACTTTGTGGGAAGGATGCAGAACATGCATCTATTCTATTTTGTGTGGAAACATAAGTACATGTATGTTTAAGGAATTAGAGACCTGAATTAATCTAATTTTATATAGAGTCAAAATAAAAGATGAACATAAAATAAGAATCAGAGAAATACAGTAATAGTTACTAAAAAAGTTCCCAGCTTCCACAGAAATACTACCTTTCTCAGCTGTCCTCCTGATCTTAGGAATGGTGAATTTCTTCAAAGGATTGACTTCACGAGTATTTAACATGGGTTCGCTAGTTGAGCTCATTTGCCACAGTGTATTCTGTTTAGCAGTTTCTTTCATTTCCATTTTGTTGGTGGCCTAAAATCAACCCAAGGTTATTAAGCAAACGGTCAATAAATACATAAAAGGCAATGGCAGTACAATCATTTAAAAGTTCAGCAAAAGTAAATAGTAAAATGTTCTTAGTCAACTATCAGAAAGTTTCCATCTCAATTTGCCAGTTACCCAAAAAAGAAAATGAGTTTACAACTTTGGTTTTTGTATATCAAAAATATCAGCTGGGCACAGTGACTCACACCTGTAATTCCAGCACTTTGAGAGGCTGAGGTGGGCAGATCACTTGACATTAGGAGTTTGAGACCAGCCTGGCCAACATGGTGAAACCCCGTCTCTACTAAAAACACAAAAAAATCAGCTGGGCGTGGTGGCACATGCCTGTAATTCCAGCTACTTGGGAGACTGAGGCATGAGAACAGCTTGAACCCAGGAGGTGGAGGATGCATCGAGCTGAGATCACTCCACTGCACTCCAGCCTGGGCAAAAGAGCAAGACTCTATCTCAATATATATATTCATATATATATATTTCACATATATATTTCATATGTATATATATGAATTTTTGTTTCTAACACATTTTTCCTTGTAATTCATGTAACTGCAATTAGGTAACCAAAAGTCTCCCTGCTCCTGAAAAGCTCAAAAACTTACAGCCATAACAATTTTTATACACATTTGGTAAAATTCTTACCAAATACTACATTTTTTCTTTCTTTGTTTCTTTTGAGACAGGGTCTTCTCTGTGTTGCCCAGGCTGGTTTTGAACTCCTGGGCTCAAGTGATCCTCCTGCCTCAGAATCCCAAAGTGTTGGAATTACAGGTGTGAGCCACCATGCCCAGCTCAAATATTCCATTTTCAGAAAGCATTTTTTTCCTATACATTTCTGTGACAAAAATGATTCTCTCTTTAAATCAAAATCTCTGGTTTCAGAAGAAACTTCAAAAAGCTGTAAACCAACGATTGCTGACTATTCCTACAGTTGATGGCCAACAACAGCCAATTGCTTATTGACTACTGCTGCATAGTATCATTCTATAAATGCTTAAGACAACATCATATATTGCTATACCAGAAATATCAAAAATATTCCTCCCTTCCTTTTTCCCTCTCCTTTCTCTCTCTCCCCAAACTTCCCTGCAACCTCCATCCCCTGCCAAATATTGATTCTTAACCTCTTTAAGTAGAACTCAAACTGGATTTCAAAAGACAGCTATGGAGTATACACACAAGGAAATATATATAAGCAGGTATTTTTCATACCATTTCATAAGATGGTTGATGGCCCTCCTGACACCTATCAACGGCTTAGTTCAAACATTAGATCACAATCCAAATTAAAAGATGCCAAAATTCTACAGAAGGATCACAAAGGATAAGGTTCTAAGAAGGTTCACAAGGATGTCCCTCTTAATGCCCTCCTGTTCTTTATGAAAGGTGATCTTGCAATCTCCCAATCAAACATGGATCAGGGAATGAAAAAGACCTCTAGAAAAAAAGAGAAGCCAGGCAGCCCTTCTTTCATTCAGCCACAAAGACACTAGTGGAGTACTGTTTTCTAACAAGAATACTCCTAAGATGCACCAGCTCTAGAGATACTTGTCAAGGCTGCCACGTTCACCTCACAGTTTAGTAAGGGGAAGAATGGAAAATAGTTTAGAATACCTTATGCAATAAAAATCTCTTCAATTAGTCATGATCTGTAACAACAGCACATAAAGGTAAAGAACAATCAGTTGAATATACTTTACTTGAACAGCCAAGTGCTGGGACAATCCTCAAAGCACAATCTTCAAAACTGCCCTTAACTACAGTTAAATTACATATTCGGTTTGGGAGGTTGAGGTGGGTGGATTACGAGGTCAGGAGTTTGAGACCAGTCTGGCCAACATAGTGAAACCCCATCTCTACTAAAAGTACAAAAAATTAGCCGGGTGTGGTGGTGTGCACCTGTAATCCCAGCTACTCTGGAGGCTGAGGCAGGAGAATCACTTGAACCCAGGAGGCAGAGGCTGCGGCAAGCCGAGATCGCACCATTGTACTCCAGCCTGGACAACAGTGTGAGACTCTGGCTCAAAGAAAAAAAAAATTACATATTCAAGAAAGCTCGATGATTTCAGCTATAGGGTTTCTCTAGCATAATTTACTAATAAAGGAAAGATTTATGAAGTTCACTTCTGTTCCTCAGGGCTTACTTAGGATAATACTTTGCCACAAAAAGCTAAGTTTACAACTAATGAAAGATGAATAATCAGGACACAACGGTGTTCAACATCCTTCATTAAATAAGTTGTGCTCAGCAATTTTTCAGTTATTATCTTTTAAGCAGGAATAACGTCTCTTTAACTTCAACCATGTTAAAGTGATAACTTCATGTATTTTTGTTTGTTTGTTTGGGTTTTTTATGGGTGAGATATTAGACCTTTGATATATATTTCTTTATGCTCATGTATCACAGACCTATAACCTTTATATTTATATGTTACATGTTACAAATTATATCATATGAAATAGTCCTACGATTATATATATATGTATTATTTATATACATATATATATAAGTAAAATAAGGAAGTTTGAATTCTGAGGATTCATGCTGAGACTGTCTTCTGGAGTCCTGGGCTATTCTAGATAGAAAAAGAAATCAATTATAAATCATTCATGAATAGTTAATGTACATGGCAATATACATAAAGTATATATATAAAATATATAATATATATAAAGTATATACCATATACTTTAACAGATATTCAAAATAACTAAAGAACAAAGGAACCAAAGACAAGTGTTTGCTAATAATTTAAACACCTATTTATATAGGTTTTAAGAGAATGTATGTTATGAACAACTTTAGGCCAATACATTTAGATATTACAGAAAATAATTCTTAGGAAAAAAGCTGCCAAAATTGATTCAAGAAGAAACAAAAACAATGAATAATCCTGTTATTATTAGGAGGAAATTAAATCAGTAGAAATTCAAACAAAAGTTAAATAAAAATGATAATACATCATAAATCAGCTGAGTTCATCTCAGAAATGCAAAAATTTGCCATTTTCTAGCTCACTTCCCACTCCCTCCTCAATCTACTTTGATTTCTACTTCCATTACTCCACCTAAACAGTGATCTTCAAAGTCATCAATGATTATCCACATCAGTCATTTGTGGCTCATGACTTACTTGGCCTCTCTCTGTTTGATACTCTTGACCACTCTGTTCTCGAAATAACACAGCTTGCCAGACTTCTATGACTTCATAATCCTGATTTTCTTGGTTTCTTAGTAACTCACCTTTCTGTATCTAGCCTTTATTATTTACTAATTTTTGCTTTAAAGAAAATATTCTTTCCATTTTTATTTTTTAGTATTTCATCAAACTTAATCTTTGAAAACATGGCAAATAAAAATAGAAACTTGTGGTTTTAGTTAGCATTTAATTCATTATCAGTGACATTGAGCTATTTTGTTTTTTCTGTGAATCACTCGTTCTTATCTTTTTGTCCATTTTTTTCCCACAGAGAAGATAGTATTCTAGTTAATGATTTATAAGGACTCCATATACAAATAAATTAGTTTTGTCTGTCATATGTATTTTAATATTTTTGCCTTTTAATTTTGTTTGTTTCTATGTGAGGAAGATTCCTCACATAGAAAAACTAATTTTTGTATAGTCTCATTTCTGAACCTTTTTTTTTTCCCTTTGAGACTAGGTCTCACTAGTGTTGCCCAGGCTGGTCTCAAATTCCTGAGCTCAAGCGATCAATTATGACATGGGGAATTCTGGTTTGTCCTCATTGCACTGTGTGGGGTGAGTGAGAGCGCCGTCATGGGAAGATGCCAGCTAACTGCACACAGTGTTTTTGATCCTCATGCCTCAGCCTCCCAAATGGCTAAGTAGCTAGGATTACAGGCAAATGCCAACTGTGCTTGGCTAATTTCTCAATCTTTTATTACACATCATCACCAGGAATATCTAAGAGTTCCAGTTTCTCCATATTCTCATCAACGCTTCATGTTGGTAGTCTTTACTTTCTGCCAACCTGACAGGAGCAAATGATAACTAATTGTGGTTAGTTTGCATTTTCTCTCCCCTCACCCCTTTTTTTTTGGACAGTGTCTTGCTCTGTCACCTAGGCTGGAGTAAAGTGGCGTGATCTCAGTGCACTACAAACTCTGCCTCCTGGGTTCAAGCGATTCTCCTGGCTCAGCCTCCCTAGTAGCTGGGACTATGGGCACGTGCCACCACGCGTTGCTAATTTTTGTAGAGACAAGGTTTCACTATGTTGGCCAGGCTGGTCTCAGCTTCCTGACCTCAAGTGATCTGCCCGCCTCATTCTCCCAAAGTGCCTGTGGGCGTGAGCCACTGAATCCAGCCCCCAATTTTTGAGAATGATCATGTACTGAGTATATATATTGGTCATGTTTCCACATCTGGGAAATACTCATTCAAGCTTTTTACCCACTTTTCTATCAGTTTAGTCTATGTATTTGCAAGAAATCTTTATATGAGATATTATCTTTTTTGCTAATTATATTTATTGCAAATAATTCCCCCCACTTTTAAAAGTTGTATTTTCATTTTCTAAAAGAGGTATGTTTAATTTTAGTCCCAAATATGAATATTTTTATTTATATTTTGTGCTTTCATTTTTGCTTTTGATCAACTTTAAGAAATACTTCTCCCCAAGCTGGGCACAGTGGTTCACGCCTGTAATCCCAGCACTTTGGGAGGCTGAGGTGGGTGGATGACGAGGTCAGGAGATTGAGACCATCCTGGGTAACACGGTGAAACCCCATCTCTACTAAAACTACAAAAAATTAGCCGGGCGTGGTGGCAGGGGCCTGTAGCCCCAGCTACTCAGGAGACTGAGGCAGGAGAATGGCACGAACCCGGGTGGCGGAGCTTGCAGTAAGCGGAGATTGCGTCACTGCACTCCAGCCTGGGCGACAGAGCAAGACTCTGTTTCCAAAAAAAGAAAAAAGATATACCTCTTCCCAAGATCATAAAGATATCCCAT